TTTAGGTTAGATTAGGTTTTTTTAATTGTGATGATAAATATATAATTAATATTTAATAAAATATAAAAAACCTGATTTTTAATTAAACAAACTTTGCACCTGATTTTTAAAAAGTAAACTTTAAACCCCTGATTTTTTATAATTTCCTAAGATAAATCTCTCCCAACTTGAACCTGGAGAAAGTGATGCAATATTGCAATTGGTTAGGACATTTTAAATTATTTCAATTAATTGGTGTGTTTTGATATGATTGGTCGTAATTAATGTGAGTTATATTTTATCTTCAAAATTTTTAAGCCGTTTAAAAAATGTTACTTTCAATTATTCGAATACTACGCATAAAAAAAATGTAATAATAATAATAATAATAATAATAATAATAATAGAAACTACATTCTAATGTATCGAGCATTGCTTTATTTTATTCTTAATGCCCTACAAAACATCAACCAAAAGCTAAGAAATTTCGAACAACCTTTATTTCATCAATAATCGCTAAGCAAATTTGTCATAAAGAAAAAAATGGTCAATGCATGAAGTTCGGCACAGATCAAGAAACCAAATCATGCTATCTACGTCATAAACTTCCACTTTATACATAACGTAAAGTACAAGCATATGTATATAGATATTGGATTATGCCATTTGTACAGTCAGTCGACAGCATTGTTAATAACCTGCCCATGTGTAGAAATTCGGATCATTGATTGGAAAAAGTATAGTTAAAATTAATGTATAAAAAATTGTCAACACATATGATGTCAAAAAAACTGTCAAACTTGATGTATATGTAGCATGATTGATACAAATAGAGGTGCATGTTGAAATATTTTAAACATGGTAACGTTCTCTTTGGGACATATCATATCTTAGCAACTAGTAATTCCAACTTGCTTTGACTCTATAGGTACCACATTTTTAATATCCAATCCAAAAAGTCAAAAAATGTGTATTTAAGTCGGCAAATAAGTGGAATTGCAAAGAAGTCAAATTAAAATTTAATACCTATGTTTGTGCTATGGAGCCACTCTCTTTCAAGTAATTAGACTTTGTCATCTGCAGTTGACAAAAAGAAATGTAGACTATTATTCTCACCTAAAGTTATACAAATCATGCCTAGAACCCCCCCAACTCTTTAGTTCAAATAAAATTTCAATTTATGTCATATTTTATATGAAAAATGAGCCGTTGACAAAATTTGTAAACGTATCTTCTTAAACTTCATACGATTATATTAATTTAGTATACTGACTTACTCGAACGTCTCTATAATCATAATTATTGCATGTACTAGAATCTCCTACCTAAGATGACGATAGGGCAAGGCGACACCTTGGGAGATTAAAAATCTGGATTTCTTGCTCAATTTTCTTCATATCGAAATATTTTGTCAATCCTACTCTTACCAACTTTTCTTTCTTTTTGCCATTCATTTTCGTTTTTCATTTTTGTGGGTGGCACGCGGTTCATTGAATATTAAAATGTGAGATGGGGAGGGACCATCCAGTATCACATAATGGCTGCGGAACTTGTTGGACCACGGAGGAGAAAGAAATATCAATTCACAATTCAACAAGTAGCCGAGGGTCCTAACTTCATTTTGAAAATTTGAGGAATTTAATTAACGAGGCTATAGTAAAACTATACTACCAAAATAAATCTCACATCGAATAAAAATAAAAAAATAAACCAACTTATAAATGATTGACTGACCTCTCTTAATAAGGTTGGCATTTTAAGATAGAACCCTAAATNTGGGGAGGGACCATCCAGTATCACATAATGGCTGCGGACCTTGTTGGACCACGGAGGAGAAAGAAATATCAATTCACAATTCAACAAGTAGCCGAGGGTCCTAACTTCATTTTGAAAATTTGAGGAATTTAATTAACGAGGCTATAGTAAAACTATACTACCAAAAGAAATCTCGTTAAGGGATAAAAATCTCACATCGAATAAAAATAAAAAAATAAACCAACTTATAAATGATTGACTGACCTCTCTTAATAAGGTTGACATTTTAAGATAGAACCCTAAATCTTAACATGGTATCATAACCCATTAAATTCCAACGAACGATCCGATCAGATTAAGACTCAAAAAATGGGCACACGAATTTCAAGATTAGTCTGCTTAAACGAGACACCATCTTACGAGGGCATTTTAAGGGATAAAAATCTCAAATCGAATAAAGATGAAAATATAGACCAACTTATAAATTGTGTCACTCCTCTTAATAAGGTTGATCTTTTAAGATGGAACTCCAAATCCTAACCGACCTCACTTTTGCAAACTTCCACTAATAACTATACATTTTTTTCTAAAATCAAAACTTCAATTTTCTTCCTGGTGTCAATTTCTTCATCACCTAATATACATCCCCATCTAACCTAACTAGTCTTGGCACATAGTAGCACAATGCTTATATTTGTTTTCCACAATTTCGTCGCTAGCCACTATCCCTAATAGGTGGAAAAGTCTATTTATATTGGTATGGATAGTAGACGCATATATTCTTTGATTTTATTGAGACTCCTTACAAGCAATTTTGTTTTTCAATAGTGTTCGGTCAGAATCCCTTGCTGACTTTGTTCCATTGGTTCCCCATTTAAATGTAGCTAATAACAATGTGGCTCAAGAACTGATGAGTATTCGAATCATAGGAGCTAGCAATAGTAAATATGCTCATATTATTGACATTATCGTTGCTATGGAATAGGCCAAGACTCTGCAAATCAACTCTTTTGTCCTATTTAGAGTTCAATCGCTCGACTCAGTGTTTTTCAAAATTATTTGCAAACGAAGAGATACTAAAAATGGTTCTTTTTTCAAACTTGTTAGGATCGATTTTGGTTTCTTTTTTGGTCTATTCATATTTATTTTAACAAATAAAGCCTTCTACAATAATACTATACAAGACATTCTACATAAAACAAGGGATAATTTATAATTAAACTCGCATCACAATTTTTATTTGTTTCACGTTATATTAATTATACTTAAAAGTCCTCAATTTTTGCTCATTGTAATACTTATGTTCCTAATTTTTTCATCAAATTTTTATCTTCAAATTTTCATTAATTAGCACATTTCGCCGTTGAGGATGATTTCTATCAAAATATATTTATTTGCATGCATTGAAATGAGGGGAATATACTTTATCCTACTTTTTCATTTATTATTTTTAAAAAATATGATAAGAAAATATGTTGTTTTACCCCATCTAATGGACTTTTTTTTTTTTTCGAAAACCATTATCAGATATGAGATATGCTAATTAATAAATGGTTGAGAATAAGAATAGCTTGAAAATTATTTGTGAACAAAAGCGATATAATGAGCAAAGAGTTAAAATTGTGGTGTGAATATAATTATCCAAAAAAAGATCTTTCAACTACATTTTTATCTTAAAATTCTTAAATATACTTTTATCTTCTAGCACATACCTCTTTCCTCCTCAATATTGCTCCTCAAATAGGTGAATGGTTGAAGATTAAATTTAAATAAATAAGCTATACCTCTAAATATAGTCGTTATTGGGGCCCACATAAGAGATAGAAAATTTGAATTTAAATATTGATGTGATGGATAACGATCATATTTTTCAAATTAATGAGATAAAAAAGTGGTCCAAACGGGGGCATAATCACATTAATATGCGAAGAAATAAAGAAAACTCCCTACTCAAAATTCTTGATTTATGGCCCGTTTGATTCTTATTATTGTAGAATGAGAATGAAAAATATAGTCGTTATTGGGCCCCACACAAGAGATAGAAATTCAAAATTGATGGCTTGATGTGATGGATAACGATCATATTTTTCATTTTAATGAGATAATAATGTAGATCAAACGGAGACTTAGTCTCAAGAGTAATGTGTTGAAAATTAAATTTTAATAAACGAATATATTCCCTTTTAACAATTTATGCTTTTAAGCGAATTGGTCAAATAAGAAGCCGATTGTCAATAAAATTGTCTAGTCAAATATGTTGAGTTGACTTCATGTGTGGCCATTAAAACTCAAATTAAGCCCCCCTATTTTTTCAAATATTTTTTTTTCAAACTCATTTTTAATCATATTTTATGAGACTCACAATTTTTATCAACTTTTTAACCATACATTTTATTTAATTTTTGTCAAAATATACTAAAAATCTAATTTTTATCTAAGTCAAACAGCGACCAAATCTCTCTCAAATTGATCGATTATTCTTATGACCCATTTAGTCGTTGAAATTAAATAATTTTACAAAATATATAACTCGTGACGCCAACCCTAATGAATCAACCATTAGTCCAGGTTCAGGTTCAACGTGTTGTACATCCTATATGGTGTTAATCGAGCTAACGGAGTAATCAATTATTTAATACTATTTACCTTCTCTTACTAAATGGATCGAAAAATACTTTAAAGACCAATTTAAAATTTTGCGCGAAGTTCAGCAATCATCGATGAAATTAACTCATTTCAAACAATTCTAATTTACCAATCCAACACTAATGTCCCTTCTTGTGTAGAGAAAGAAGATTGTTGAACATCCAGAACAATCAAAATCTATATTCAAATTAGAAAATATAGATAATAAAAGACATAAAAAGAGAAAAAAAAAATTAATTATATATAAGCTCTTCCTTTATAGCTCATACAAAGTATATTAAAAACACACAAATCATCAAACTAAAAAACATAAAACCTATGAAAAATGCTAAAGAGTACCACAACCAATACTGTAATAATCACTTACGGACTCCCAACAGTTGATATTACTTTCAATTGAGAAACGCAATTAAAAAGCTACTTTTAAGTACGATCATAGGTCTGCTTGAGTTTCATCGACTAAAAAATATGTCCTTGTTTGGCTCCTATTAAATTTTTTTAAAAATTTTTCTTTTTTAATTTTAATCACACATTTTTCAAATATAAAACAATATTAGAGCCAAACACGACATAAATACCTCTCAGTCTAGTAACTCTTAATGAACTTTTTTATTAATTTTTTAGTACTTTTTATTACTGAAAAGTTGAACCTGGTTGTAAATAGCAAGGTCAGGCCAGCCTTCGCCACCATTCCAACAACTAGAATCGCCGCCGCCGCCGCCACACTGAATATTTAGGTACCCATCTGCATTATTGTCATTCCCACCCTCCAACACCAATTGGAGGTCCATATTATGACCCGAACATTGATCTTGATCGCCAACCAGTTCTCTTGACTGCATTTTTGAACAATTAGGGCTCGGACCATTGAGCAAATCATTGAATTGCCCTCCACTTGACTCCAGAAGTGAGCTGAAGTCCATTAAATTCTCAAACTGGCCACCATAATTTTGTGCCTTCAGCGGCAACGATTCAGTGATTACAGCCGTAGTAGAAGTGGATGCTAATGGTGCAGACACGGCCGTCGTGGAGACGGTGGAGGAGAGCGCTGGGCGTTTGGGGTGGTTGTTTCGGGAAGAAGAGATGGAGGAGGAGGAGGAAGTGCGCTTAGTGTTCTTCCTAGAGCAGCCGCCGACAGGGATATTTCTAAGAGCGCCTCCTTTAGTCCAGTACCTCCGGCAATTTTTGCAGAAGTGGCGCGGCTGAGTGAGGTTGTAGTTGTTATAATAACAGAATTTTGTGTTCGTGGATTCACACCTTGGGCACTTCAATTGTTCATGTTCTGTGAATTGTGGCTGTGTATTTGGCTGTGCTGCTTGTGCTTTGATCTGTGAATATATTGATGGGTATTGCATTTTATCAAAAACAAACTCAAATTCTATTATCAAATTTTGATAGTGGCGAAAAGGGAAGAATTACAAATTACAAAACCTCAAAAAAGACAAAAGATTGAAGATAGATACGAATTTCGAACCCAAAATTGCATATTTTCAGAACAGCATTTAATAACCCTTAAAGTCAAAACTAAAACCAGAAGAGTTTCAGAGACAAAATTATGGGGTTTGAATCCGCGTGAGAGAGACGGCAAAAGAACGAAATATATATACTGAGAGAGAAACTCACTTTACTTCGCTGCAGTCTTTTTTCAAGTTGAAAATTTGGCTTTAGCTAAGCCAGTCACCAGCGTGTAGAATAGAAAGTAGAAAGTGCCATTTTACCAATTTTTAATTAATAGAGTATTTTTTTATTATTATTATTGATAAGTTAACAAATCAATTATGATTAATTTAATCAAACAAAGGGGATTGAGGAATGATTTCTGATTATTTAAAAATATAAAATTGACCAGATGTCAAACTTTTGCCCTAATGTATTATCCCCTTAAACTAATTACGATGATTATAAAAAAGTACGTTCTTCTCGGTTATCATGTTACTCAAACGCTTATGACATATATATTAAATTAATAGTCGACTAGATGTGTGCTCTTCAATCCAGTCATTGAAAAAGACTACGAAATGTTACTCATCAAGTATAAAAAGTATACATTAATACTCTTATCAATATCATCTCGAGCATATGGACATTATCAGTTATCACTCCACTTATCTTCTAAATGTTATAAGAATAAAAAATTGGAGCAGTTAATCCAATTGAAAGCAATTTTTGGTTCTTCTTTTTATTCTATCTTTAGTCCTTGTTTGAGCAGCATTTTTCGTTAAAATGCATTTTTCAACAGTGATTTGATTCAATTACAATTACACAGTTTTCAATAAAATAATATTACATGTAAATCTAAAATTTCTCCTTATTTTTTAACCATACATTCTTCATCATAACAGTGAAATGTATTTTTTTTTGGCAAAAAATGGGCTCAAAATCTCACTTTTTTTTTTCCCTAATAATATTATTAGAATATATGTCTTGCTTGGCTTGAAGTGTGAATTTAAGTCGAGTGTAGGAAGCCAGTGCCTAATCACGTAACTAAAAACAAGTACAGTACCAGGAGCCGGCTGCAAGCCATTGGGTGCTGCAGCCAAGCCGGTAATGGAGCACGCGTGCTAACAAAGCTATGAGAAACTGAAGGGTACATAAGCCGAATCACCACCGTCAATTTCACATTGTGGGGATTTGACAGCCGTCCAAATGGCAGAACCGAGGGGTATCGTAAATGGAGGTGGAGTTGAGTAGCCGTAATCGAGATAGATGGCGCATTGTAAATGGATGAGGTGTGACCCATGGTATTATGGAGAAGAAGATGCTACCAAACAAGAAATTGAGTGAAATTGAAATTTAATTAAGAAAAAATATTTTCGATTTACTCCTCAAATTCTTGTACTTTGTTCGAAAAGTCTGTTCACTTGAATAATCCGCAAGGGATTAGATGACACTCGTTCTAATCTTCGTATAAATTTTTCAAAAAGATTCATTTTTTTTTTCAATAACTCGTAAAGCTCACCCTATACGTAGGACAGAGAATTCTTAAAAAATATGTAATATTTATTAAAATTAATTTTTCAATAAAAGTTATTTTCAACAAATTGAGTCGATATGACTTGTGAGTGTACACACATTTCTTCTTCTACATCTTCGTGGATGCACCAATGTACAAATCAAGGAACGAGAAATTATACCTTAAATATATTTTCAGCGGAAATTTGGACAGGGTAATTCTTAAAATCAAGGAACGGGAAATTCTTGATATTTAAATCAATGCTTTAACATTTAAGTTGATTATTAAATAAGAAAAGAAAAATGGATGAACGATTTATTAATTCCTTCTTCGAATGTGTGACTTAGAGTTGTGCAACGATGCATAAAATTTTAAAATCAAGTCTTACTAAGATCCCAAATTTTAGTTTTATTAAGTCTCTTGGTTATAGATTTATAAAGACTTCATATCTTGATCTCGTTCAAAAATATTCGAAGTTAACAAATGTTACAAGATAATAATATATAAATATGAATTCGTAAATGTTACGAAAAGTTCTTTGAGTTCAAAAATCTTGATCAGGTTGTCGATTAAAAAACAAATGTCAGTTCACTCAGTTTTGACCGTTGTGAAACGGGTCAAGGGCAATCCGACCCTCTAAGCTCACTTGACCTGATTAAGGACTGAGTTAGTGGTTTTTCTTGATTGGTCAGTCGATCGGACTAAATTTATAACTATGCCTAAAAGTCATCACTTGTTCAACCAAAATAAGATATTCATACGTTTGTAGAGAAGCGATAGCGTGACATTTAGAAAAAAAGTTCATAACATTATTCATCGGCTATGATTACTTAAATAATTCATAATTTCACACTCAGTGGTAATGTGTTAGTTATGTGTTGGATTGTAATTTGTGTTATCACATGAAATGATTACACAAATAATTCATAATTTCACACTCAATGGTAATGTCTCAATACAAAAAAAATAGATGCGCTTCGACTCGATTAGTTCTAACAATTAAAGGCAAAAATACAAATTGACCTTGTTGTAAGGGTGTAAAATAACGAGTTGTTCGACCCAATACAAAAATATCTTCATTTTGATGATCAATTTGTATTGTAATACAAGAAATCTCTGAGTCAAGTCGATTAAGCCTATTTAAGTTACACCTTTACTATTCAACCAAATTTATTGAGATAATCATTTTCATAGTTAGCAAGTTCTAAAATATTTGTAACCTGTTGACCCCAAAAAAACGAGCTCAACAGATATCGGGCCCACTCTCGCCGTGTTAAGTACTAACGAGAATTTTTAAATCAATGCTTTAAAATTTAAGTTGATTATTAAATAAGAAATGAAATATGGATGATCTTTTTATCAATTCCTTCTTCGATTGTGTGACTTAGAGTTGTGCAACGATGCATAAAATTTTAAAATCAAGTCTTACTAAGATCCCAAATTTTAGTTTTATTAAGTCTCTTGGTTATAGATTTATAAAGACTTCATATCTTGATCTCGTTTAAAAATATTCGAAGTTAACAAATGTTACAAGATAATAATATATAAATATGGATTCGTAAATGTTACGAAAAGTTCTTTGGTTGACCCGGTTCAAAAATCTTGATCGGGTTGTCGATTAAAAAAAATGTCAGTTCACTCAATTTTGATTGTTGTTAAACGGGTCAAGGGCAATCCGACCCTCTAAGCTCACTTGACCTAATTAAGGGATGAGTCGGTGGTTTTTCTTGATTGGTCAGTCGGATCGGACTAAATTTATAACCATGCCTAAAAGTCATCACTTGTTCAACCAAAATAAGATATTCGTACGTATGTAGAGAAGCGATAGCGTGACATTTAGAAAAAAAGTTCATAACATTATTCATCGGCTATGATTACTTAAATAATTCATAATTTCACACTCAGTGGTAATGTGTTAGTTATGTATTGGATTGTAATTTGTGTTATCACATGAAATGATTACACAAATAATTCATAATTTCACACTCAATGGTAATGTCTCAATACACAAAAAAAAATAAAAATAAATAAATAAATAAATAAATAAATAAAAGATGCGCTTCGACTCATTAGTTCTAACAATTAAAGGCAAAAATACAAATTGACCTTGTTGTAAGGGTGTAAAATAATGAGTTGTTCGACCCAATACAGAAATATCTTCATTTTGGTGATCAGTTTGTATTGTAATACAAGAAATCTCTGAGTCGAGCCAATTAAGTCTATTTAAGTTACACCTTTACTATTCGACCAAACTTATTGAGATAATCATTTTCATAGTTAGCAAGTTCTAAAATATTTGTAACGCAACATCGTGGAATAATAATCAAGATACAATTTTCCAGCTCAATTGAAAGTAAGGCAGAAATAGAGATGTACATCACACGATTCACACCCATTAGTGTGTCCAATGATAGATTCTTAAACATATTAAGGCCCTGTTTGGGAGGGATAATATTTTTCTATAGTAAATCAATTCTCATTTTCAACCACACATTTTTCAATAAAGTAATATTTTCCATCACATCAATAATTTTTTTCTTTTTTTTTTTCAACTACACATTTCCCATCATATCAATATTTTTTTTTTTCTTTTTCAACCACACATTTCCCATCCTATCACTATTCAAAATCAATTCTTCCCCCAAAAATCTCTCCCAAACAAGCTCTAAAAAAAAAAATGCCCACGTATAATTTTAAAATAAAACCTAAAATCTAATGATGTAAACTAATATTTATTTATTTTATCTTTTTTATTTGTGAATATGATATTTTTAATTTGATTTTGATATACCGTTTAAAATTTTGTTTTGAATTTTTTTTATTTTTTAAGAAAACTTAAACAATACGGAGGATAGAGACGAAAAGGGGCCACGATCCCTGGCCCATCCTTTATTCGTGACTGATTTCTTAATCTCGTCCTCGAGCCATTTTCGATTAAGTCGGGAATTCCTTGTCCCATTTGGGCCGAGTTCCTTCTATGGAAGATGTAATTTAATTAAGATCATGTTTGGCGAAGTATAATAAAAGTAAACTACTTTTAAGTAATAACTTCCTTTTTCATAGTTTGAATTAAAAATTCTTATTTTTACTATGAAAATATGTAATTTTGTCCAAGAAATTGGTTGAGCATGGTGATGAGAAATAGGTGAGGCATGTGGCACGTGGGGGCTATGAACAGAACATGAGTGACAGTGGTTAATGGAGGTAGGAATTTGTGTAATTCATGTGCTGTCACGTCATGTCCCCCACGCGCCTCCTGATGTTGACCACGAGCGGTGCTCATAATTTTGAAATTGGCTTTTATTTGGTGAGATTAAAATTTTTAGTATATAGAAGTTTTTGAAATTTGTGGTTGAAAAATTGTGGGATTCATGAAAGATGTGGTTAATATTGATTGTATGACTTTGACTTGGATTAAAATCAAATTTAAATTCTGACCAAACAAGAATGCGTAGTCAAAAAGAATTTTTTTTAAAATTTACGTGTAATATTATTCTACTGAAGAATGTGTGGTTGATAAGAAAAAGAAAAAAAATGAATTATAATTTAATGAGAACCAAACGGGACATAATATTGTTAAATGCATTAGATGTCATTAACACGAGAATACAATAAAATTTGTTATTAAATTCATTTTCGTTAATTGGTTGTAAAATTTGTTATTAAATTCGTGCTAGTATCATTGAGCATCTAATATTTCACAAACGTTTCTTTACAAATGAAAGTCGAAACAATACACGCTCGACAATAAAATTGTTTGTCTAGACAATTGCTTTTATTTTTCTCTACACTTCGACATGCTATACGTTATAAATTGAAAAGAAAACGTAGAGCACAATTCTGAAATGCAATTTACACTACTTCATAGTACGACAACCAATCACAATAAAATGTCTTCTTATCCACGAACATAAACTAAACAAATATGAAAATAAGTTGTTCAACATCAGGAATGATCTAATGAGCACCGGTGCTCATCTTATCCTAAGCACCGATGAGTTGGCACATTAATTCATTGGTGGATAAAGATTTTGTGAGTTCCAATCCACCAATGAATTAATGTGCCAACT